AAAAAGGATCACTTCATGGGAACAAAGGAAACTTAGAATTCTCTTCTCTTTTCTGCTGGCAAAATGCAGTTCTTTTGCAAGGAAAGGTAAAAAAAAGTCTACTAAGTAAGAAAATCAAAATTACTATTTTCATCTTGGACATCTGCAGTTTATCCATTAGACAGAGATAAAATAGCACATTGCAGAATTATCTTTTAAATTATACATGTGGTAGGGAAGGGTTTAATGTATTCTAAAAGCTGAAAGAAAATTATTTGTAATGAGAAAGCAGAAACAAAATTGTTTACCATGTTAAAATTATACCTTTTAGCCTTTCAGAAATTGAACATTAAGTAATAGAAAAATGCAAAGCTTGAACAGACCCAAACCAGCCATTTTCAGAAAGCTACTTTAAGAGGACATTTGTGACCATCATCTTTTCATTCTGATTGAGAACATTAAGGTTTCATTTACAATTTAAGAATTTTCCACGGCACTGAAATTCTGATTCCCGACCATCTCTAATTTTAAGTAGATTGTGCACCATGGATAATGAGGGCAGAGTATTTACTATTTATTCCTGCAAGGGTGATGTTGGAAAGGAACACCCCATTCTGGGGGGCCAGGCAGGACCTCAAGTCAGGGAGAGGATAGGGGGAGAGATTTTAGCCAGCACAGGCAGGACTAGAAGAAGAAATCAAGAGATCTTAATTTGGGTTGTATAGGAAAGAAGAGTGTAGGTGCAGAAGGAATAATATAAACAATCTAGTCTATCTAGCTATTTCATCCCTTTCCACATCCCAGAATTAGCCATTCATTAAATCCTCTTTCACTGTTATCCTTGTTTATTTTATTCTGGTATTTTTTAGATCCTGCTGTTCACAAGTATTACTCTGGTAATGTATGTGGATAAATCCGGAGGTCAAATAGACAAATCCAAACACCTGAACCTTAGCATATCTGTAAAGTACTAACCAGGGTGCTCCATCTCACCCTAGCTCTGCAGAGGACTGAGTCACTAACTCGTTTCCACACAGCAGAGAGCTGATTGCCTTTGCGTTATGCTTGAACAGCTATGGGGACGTGAATTTTCCGTGCAAGAGGATTTAAACCCCATCCTGCCCATTAGTGAAGAGAAATGAACTTGAGCTAGGGCATTTCAATGCAGAACATTTGTTAGTCAAGTGGAAGGTCATTTTCTGTAATCTACCTGTGGACTGGGATTTTCAAAACCTCAAAGTGACTTAAGAGAACAAGGTATATGTACTCCACCATGACTGCTTTTACTAGAGCATAAACATAACTCTAAGTCCCACTGGCTTTCAACCAGGCTTTTAGCTCCCAAGTATCTAAGTCACTTCTAGAAATGGCACATTATCTCCTCAATTACCAAGGCACTTTCGCAAATGTGTCCCGTGATGGTAGCACTGCTGCTCTCCTGCTTGGTCTACGGAAGTAACAGAACAAGGTTATAATGGATATTGTCTTTCCAACAACTTGTTTCTGGTAAGCAGTAACAGGCATTGGCTCGAATTCTGAACAGGCAATATGGTTATCCAGAGAAATCCAGCTTGCGCTGTTTAACTTGTGTTCACTGCTGTTGAGCTGTAGGAATGTCACATGGGATCGCATCTGCTTGTGTGATGTTTCATCATGAATATTATTGTATTTTTTATTGTGTTGCACTAGCTTTCACGAGACTTCATCACTGGCCAGCACTCCCTTGTGTCAGATGGTGCAAAACCACGGAGCGGAAAGACGATGTCCTGTAGAGGCCATGTGCTGAATGTTTTCTCTGCTGTGCATATGGAGCAGTTCAGATTCACAGCTTCTAGCTCCAAGTCAGTCTAGCAATTAGGGCAAACATTGTCCATTAGCAGTCTCTTCAACAAAACATCATACACAAGCCCTAGCCACGCTGTCAGCCATAACAGACTGTTTATCTCCTCTTCTTTCCTCTGCTGTCTATGAGAGTGAGCATCTCATGTGATGAGGAGAAATGACCAGCACCAGCAGCAGACACAGCCCAGATGAGACCCGTGCATGACACAGACGCGCATCCTGTCCCATCCAGGAAGCTCTTGTCCCCTCTCCCTCTTTCCCCACCCTCCTTGTTACCTCCCAGCCTCATACCCCTTGGTTACTTCTTCACGCTGTCAATGCCAGGTGCAGAGCCGGGAAGCATAAGCCATCTGCAGCTGACAGCAGGCAGCCCCTGTGGGATAAGCCAGTAATGAATATCGCCAGGATGCTGAGCATCTAGAGGCAGGAATCCGGCTGACTGCCGCTGAAGGGATTGAAACAAGTCGCAGAAATATCCCAGCTTCGTCAGGAAGGAAAGGCTGTATAATTTGCAGCTGGAGATGAATGTGATTATTTGCCATGCAAATGGATTTTGCCAGCTCAAAGTGGCCTTCATCAGCAGAGATTGTTGTGTTTGACATTATCCGGTTACTTTTGTTTAATGTCTCTGTGCCTTTTCTGAGCGCTTCCTTCCCTGAGCACACATCATCCAGACTAATGAGACAGGTATTTTTTTCCTCTTGCCATCAATCTGAAGCCATGTGAGCTAAATCCATAGCTGCCTCCCTCCCCGCTCCCTCTACAAATATGAAGCAAGAAGTGAAGTGCTGGCAGTCCTGCAGACTGAGTTTCCTCTGCAGATGGCAAGTATGGTGGTCACACTTATCTCACCTACCTTTAGCTATGTAAAAATTAGCTGTTTAGTCCAACCTAGTCATCCCAGTTCCTTCAAAATTCAATAGAGAGGGATGTCTGCAGAGGAACCTCCTCACAATGTGAGCTAGAGGGGGTGAATCACTCCTGGAGGTCCCTATTCATCTCCAGAGCTTGTTTGGTGAGAACGTCTCTCTTAGAGAGTTAAACGTAGGGTAGAAGAACAGTACCCATCTCCCTGCCTTTCCCACAGCATCCAGTCCCACAACAAACCTCTGATCCCCCTCTCTGGCTGGCAGTGATGAGAGGCATAAAAAGAAAGTAATCTGGGATGAGGGACCACTGGTCTGCTCAGCCATGTTGCTGCAGTAGCCAACGAAGGAGGAGGTTTGTGTAAGACACTGCAGCGTGGGGTAACCAGCATATAGCTTATGGTTGGAAACTGTGCCTGAAAACATCTTATTTGTCATACCTTTCTTGCTTTTTAAGATGTGAATGATTAAGAAAAGAATCTGTGGACTCCTTACAGTATCACCTTGGAGATGGGTCCTGTAGGCTTCCCTGAAAGACCTTGACAGGTGGATCCTTCAGAGTCATTCACTGAGCTTGGGTTTATGGCGAGATGGACTTTGCTGCCGTTTCAGAAGAGCCCGTGGAGAAAGAAACCAGAGGGGAGGGCAGAGACTCTGCTCTGAAATGAGGCCCCTGGGCAGAGGAAATCCTGACCCATCTCTAACGGCAGCAGTCCCTTCGGTCACACATCTGTAAAACACACCGCTTGTCCTGCCTGTCACTGTAATCCCCTGCAGGTTCTCTCTGCCATGGGTGAAGGCTGCTGTCAGCGTTCTCCAGGAGCGCAGGGCTGGCAGCGTGTGGTGGGATGGGTCTTATTTCCACATATTAAAACGCGTGCTTTCCACTCTGCCCCGTGTGCTGCGTGTGGGCGCTCCATCACTGTGCAAAGGCAATCCATGCGCTCTGCTGGGAAGTGATCTCAAAGAGTTTTGACTAGAGAGATTTCAGGGTGGGTAGATCTAAACGGGGAGATGACGTGATGTCTGCTGGAGGTGCTTCTCTCACATCATCAGCGTTTAAAACCAGACCGGACAAACTGGAAATGTGTAACCTAGACAAGTCATGCAGCTGGTGGGCTGTGTGGGTTTAGTCTCTTTCCAGCTCTAATTTCGGTGTTAGCAAAGTGTGTTTTTTCCCTCAATGGAGCAATGGATCACGGAGGTTGGTTTGTCAAGTCATGTTAAACCACAGTAAACCATAGCAGCTGGACCCAAGGATTTGTGCAGACCAGACACGGCATGGCACACACTGTCATGAGCTGGTCCAGTGCCCTTAGCTGGATTGGAATATCTCTGTTGCTGTCCGATAAATTGCGTTTCTGTGGAGTGACTCGGGTCAGCAGAAAGGCAACGCTGAGACATGGTCCCCCATGGAGAAATAAATGATGTTTCTCACGGGCAAGTCCTCCCTAGTCAGACTGTCTGGCTTTATAAAATAGCACTGTAAGTTGCCTTCTGTCTGGGACAGTGCTCTGCATCTAGAAAAGGAGCGTATAAATAATTTAGACAGAATGCACGAATACTGACATCACTCTCAAATTATCTTCCACTCTTAAAAATTATTTGGAAAGATTTTAATATAAATTAATGCCTACTTGACTTATTTGCCTCTATTTCTGTCCAATGGTTACAGATAATTGGCTATTTGATTGCAGCAAGTGCAAAATACCTAGATTTTAAGGCATTATTATGAACATCTTGTCTAACCATCTGCTGAATACAAAACAGATAATGTCAGTAGGCAAATTATTCATTAAGGCCATAGCTCCTCTCTGAGCTTCAATATGTCTTATAGAAAAACACAGAGTATTGGTTATTAAACTTAGGGGATGGAGGAGCTGACCTAGTGATCCCAGCTGGTCCGTGTATCTGGTCTGGCTCCAGGCTGATGGTCCTTCCCACTGGGGTATGTGACAGAACACACAGACCTCGTCAGAGATGCTGTTCAGGTAGGCATTGCCCTGCCCAGCTAAACCTTCCTGGCAGTTGTCTCCATGTCTTATTATTAATATTATTGTATAATCTGAAACAAATTGAAAATCAAAGCAAATTGGATCAGTTTATTGCTGATTTTTTTTCACTGTGAATTTTTTATCCCCCTTCTCATTACACTGACACCTTGAAAACTAGATTGAGAACTGAAAACAGACCTTTGGCTTCCCTGGAAGTGGCTGGAGAATGTGACTCTGGGTAAATGATGGGCCTGCAAGAGCAAGCTGCACCTTTTGGACCTTCACACCCCTCCTGTCTGATTCTCCTCTCTGTGTCCAGGTCTCTCTCTGGCCGCATAGTCGGTGGCGTCTGGTGGTTCTTCACCTTGATCATCATATCCTCCTACACAGCTAACCTGGCTGCCTTCCTCACCGTGGAAAGGATGGTTTCTCCCATCGAGAGTGCGGAGGATTTGGCCAAGCAGACAGAAATCGCCTATGGGACCCTGGAAGCTGGCTCCACTAAAGAGTTTTTTAGGGTAAAAAGAGAACTTTAATGCAAACATTTTGATTAGCCACTTGTTTGACAAGTCGTCCGTGCCTGTCCTCTCTTATCCTCAGCTCAGGTCTGGTTTTTAGTCTTGCTTCCCCTTATGTTAGGACCTGCTGAGCTTGTCCTTAGAACAGCAAAATTCCAGTTTTCCCTGTGCCACTCCGAAGGCTGCCAGTGTCTCCAGTACGTGTGATATTCTGCGCCTGTAAACACAATTATGGAATATCCATATGCTTCCTCATGTTATTGAGGAGCTACACTGAGCAGCTCCAAAAGAAACCGTCTCCTTCTTTCTAGCTTGATCTGCCCTTGATTTGATCCACAAAATCACTTGCCATACACAAATACGTGGCAGAAATCAGGGGCTGGTCTGGGCTCTGGTGCAGAAATGGCAGGAGGTTCATTAACATCCCGTTACCCCTCTTGCCTTCCTCACCCCATCCAATATGAGGGTATGTGTTCAGTCCAAGCTGGAAACCTTGTCAGGCACCCAAACCTCTGTTAACGCTTCTGTTGGGTTTCTGCTGTCCTACTCAGCGATCCAAAATAGCAGTGTTTGAGAAGATGTGGACGTACATGAAGTCAGCCGAGCCCTCCGTTTTTGTGAGGACGACGGAAGAGGGGATGATCCGGGTGAGGAAGTCAAAAGGGAAGTATGCCTACCTCTTGGAGTCCACCATGAACGAGTACATCGAGCAGCGGAAGCCCTGTGACACCATGAAGGTGGGAGGTAACTTGGACTCCAAAGGCTATGGCATTGCAACACCAAAGGGGTCTGCGCTGAGGTAAGTAGCTTGGATTTCCTTTCTTTTGCCAAACCACCCAGCAAATCAATGTATGCACACAGTTCAATCTCCATTGCCATGTTAATCACAAAAGCTTAGGGAAAGGAGGTGGGGAAGGTGGAGGGAAAGGGATATGAAAACTCAGCATGATGTGCAGGGAAGTAAAATGCCCAGCTCCCGTTGAGCACCAATGAGAGCATCTAATTCTTCAAGCCCTGCATTTGGAAACTGGACCCTGGCTGATCCACTTGCTGTGAATGTGTCTGCTGTATTAGGTGATGGCAGGGGGGCTGCTGTGGTGTAACCATTGGTTTCACAGAGCATTATCCGGAAGGGATGCTCATCCTGTGCCATGTGAACTGCACAGCTTTGCAGAGTATGGTGTTACCCCGACTTGGATCCATGCTTGCAGAGGGAGTTCTCATGGGGAAAGCATTTTGATGTTTCTTAAAATGAAATACTATTTGGAAGAGTTTTGAAAAAGTCCTGCAAAAGGTGTGTATTTTCATTCATTGAGTCAATTCAGATCCTGGCAAGCACCAAATTTATGGCAAGTCTCAAGGGGCACAAACCCTGCATTTCTGAGCCCAAACCTGTAGCTGTCACATGCCTTTGCCTGCTGTCATGTGAAATATCTTCACAGATGTTCCTTTAAGAAGAAGAACCCTTAAAAAGTACAGATGCAGATCTGAGCGGGTAGCAGAGCTTGGGCCCTGCACACAGCCGTCCTGCTGGATGTGAGCTGGCCCCCTGTAAAGTGCATCGTGCAAACTGACCTGCCCAGAGCAGTGTTACCACAATCTACAAACTGGGATTGGGATCTGATTCTTGTTAGAGGTAGCAGCTGTGCAAGTTCCTCACTTCACAATCATAAGGCATATGCGTTTTAAGAATTTAGTGAGACTAGTAAATCCCTAGAAGCCATAGCTTTAAGTAATCTGATTGATGCTCCAGCTGTTTTAGTTTTTTATTGAACATATTTTAATCAAAATATTTTGACCAAAGTCGTATGCATGGCCTTATACTTGCTTGCTAACATAACCCAATGCAGACACACTTAATCCATGGTATCTGGATTGCCAGAAACCAGATGAGAATCTGATGATGGATTTGTGTGGTCACACAGCTCCCAAGCCAAAGCCAGCCCAAAGAATCAAAGATGTATCAACTGCTAGTGGATGAGGTCTAAGCATTTTTATTACTACATTTATTAACCCAGCACAAATTGAATTCATACTTCCCATATCTTTATAGAAGCTCATGAATGCAGTGCAGGTGTCCAGAAGGCAATTCCTGCATCCACTGTGGTTCAGGCTCTGAAATGACTAGGGGCCCTCCAAATGAAGGTGGATATATTCTCACAGCTTTGAGATGCTTTCTGTTGCATTCTCTCCAGTGTTTGTTTGCTGTCTTGCAAATATGGAAATTAGGATACAGGGCTGAATCAATTTATTTATTTATTTAAACATCAATCTTGTATCCTAATTTTGATATTATAAAAACAAGCAAACAGGAACATCCTACCTGCCTTGTAGTTGTTGGCATGTGAAGGAGCCATTTATTGTACTTCTAAGAAAAACAAACAACAAAATAGAAAATCACATCGTTTTAATTTTGCAGCTCCAAACATCCCTCTGCTAGGCATGATTCCAAAATTTCCTAACATTTCTTTCTGTTTCCTCTTTTTCATCCTGGCTGCATGTAGAACAAATTTCTTATGGGCCTAATGGCAAAGGAGGAATAAGCAACAAAAAAGAAAATCACATTGCTTTAATTTTGCAGCTCCAGACATCCCTCTGCTAGGCATGATTCAAAAATTTCCTAACATTTTTTTCTGTTTCCTCTTTTTCATCCTGACTGCATGTAGAACAAGTTTCTTATGGGCCTAATGGCAAAGGAGGAATGCTTGATTTTCCATCCAATGGTGTTTCTTGGGAACAGTTGCTGTCACTTTTTGTCCCATTGCGTTTGTTTTGTTCCTGTTGTTTTAATTGTTTTAATCTTAGTAGTTCCCTAAGTCATCATGCAGCGTCTGTTTTCCCCTTGGGGTCCTGCACGTGAGAGGTTGCCCTGAGCAAGGTGACATCCATGGGGCATCTGTATAGCATGGTCAGCCTGTCCCTTAATCAGGCTCCATCTTCACTCCCTTCCATCCACAGAGGAAAAGCTCTGAACGAGGCTTGGAGGTACATGTGAGCCAGGCCTGTCTTAGATAGGATGTGGTTTAGAAGCTGGACTGCATTTTGATTTTTTTTGCTGCGACCTGTCCCTTTTGTAGCTAGACCAGTTTTCCTGCATTTAGGATAGCTGATTAGGAAGGGATCCAAGAGAGATGCTAAATGAGTTCACCATTGTTTTTCTTGCTTCTACATGGGAACACAGTGCCAGGATATTGCCACAGATGTATGAAAACAAGGTTGAAATTTCAAAAATAATTCTACATATTGTAGCAGGTGCAAACAACCCTCCCAAACTGTCAGTTAGGTCTCTTGGGCTGCTGAAAGAGCTTGCTCCTTCCTTCTAGGTGAATCTGGCTTTGAGTGTCTTTTGGCCTCCAGATGTTAGAATTCAGTTGCATTTAGGCATGGCTGAGAAGGGCCAGTTCAAAGTGTGATCCTGTCTGACATGAGATAGTCATGCAGCTGCAAACCCATCCATTTACCTGGCAGGAGCTCTTCTCTGCTGCTGGATGAGTGATCAAAAAAAGGGCAAAAGGCACATTATCCAAAACAGGAAAGAAAACCCAAGAAACTCCATGTGAGTCTGGACTCAAGGAATAGGGAGGTTTTTGAGATAAAGAACATAAAATGTTCCCTGTTAAAAACCCACTTTCTTTCAGGACCCCAGACCTCTAAGTCTTCCATCAAAATACACTCAAGATGAAGTACAGCTTGTTCTGTGTACTCCCCATGAGCTGAAGAGAGAGACAATTAAATGAACTGAAGCTTCCTAGGAACGATAACATATAACACTTAGCACATGGCCCCAAAAATCATATGGGTGATACTGTGCTCAGGGAAACCACAGTGCATTTACTTTGTTAATACCTTGTACCCACATAGAAGCTGCAACGTATTTTGGCTCATTAGTTAACTAATCTTTTGCAGATGGTTCCGACACCAAAGTGCTAATTAACCTGTATTCTGTTTTCAAAGACAGAAATTATTATGATTTACTTTGTGTCAGATGCTTTCTGGAGCTGCACTCACATGCTTCTATTGGCTTTAAAGGGAACTGAATTTAGACTCTGATCACAATACTGTTACAGTAAAAGAGGGAAAATATTCAGCCATCTTCCAGTTTACACCTTTGCCTTCTCTTGGACTGGTAGTGACTTCGACTGCATTTGGATTTTGCTTTTTGAAGGCTGGATTCTGCCTGAAGGAGGCTCCCAGTCCTTGTGAAGGCTCCAGTGCTTGGATGGGATCCCAACGGGCAGAGCTCGTGGAGGTCAGCACATCCCTCTTGCTCACAGCCAGGCTTTTTTTGGAAGTGTGATATAAGAGAACAGCCCCCTTGGTGAGGATTTCTTGGTGCGGTACACAGTGCTACATGCACAAATTGTCTGAGACAAGAGCCACAAGGTCTTTGGCCTTTTTCAAGATCTGCTTTATTGATATTCGAGGTCTGCTGGTGGACAGTTCAGCCCTCCATCTCTTCCATGCTTTTTAAAGCTTTCTCACATTTCTGTCTCACTGTGCTTAGCTTTCTTCCTCTTTTTCATGCAATGTCTACCCCAGCATTGCACCTGATACCCAGCACCCAGAAACAAACTGTGCCCTTGTGCAGAGCCGATAAAACTTCCTGCTGCATGTCCTGAGTCAAGCTGCTCCCTCAGATGTTTGCCACCGAAATCAGTGAGGGGTGTGTGAACACGTCTGAAGGCAGACTGTGGCACAGTTTGGGTTTTGCAGGCTATCCTAAATCCAGATCACTGGTCTTCTGTCTACGTGGTAGAGTTGGCTCAGCACCCAGACTCATGCAATGTTTTCCACGACTGGG